CAGTCCATACCAGGTACCTGGCTCCAGGCACCAACTACACTGGGTCTTTTGAAAGGGCAAAGGAGATAGATTATGGGGGAACCTGGGAGAGAGGAGAGACAGGTGGGAGGCCCTCCTGGTCTACTCATGCCCAGTGGTCCTGCCCACTCAGACATCCTTTCCCTGGGATATCTGGGTGATCAGTCATGAGCCACTTGCCAGTAGACAGTCCAGCCCAGTTGGTGTGCCCTCTTGATGACACGGGGAGTACTGACCCCACCGGGCCACCGGGAACATCAACGACCAGAGAAGTTCAGAAGTTACCTCCTCCTTCCTCCCACAGGCCTCTCCACCGTAAGGAGGAGAGGTGCCAGTTCATGCCCAACATGTGACCCTGGCTGGAGGGTCATCTCTGGAATACAGCTGGTTCCTCCAAATCTTCACCTCTTCTTCAAGCCCATTCTAGGCGCTCCAGTCTTCTCCCTCCAGCCAAGGACCTTTTGTGCCCTCTTCCCCAGAGAAGGCCCTCACTGGGTTCATCTCCTTTCATGCCCCAGCTAGCCTTCCTCTCTTTTTTTCCCACCTCATGCCTCATTCCTTACGACGGTCTGTCTTTGGTGCTTCCTTTTCCTTCCTTTCCTCCTGGAACTCAGTTGCCGTCAGGGATCTCCCCTCTAGCCCAAACCTGCCCCTCCACCCTGAATCACGCCCCTTTAACCTGGGGTAAAGAAAATCAGTGTGGACTGGCTTCTGCAAATGCATAACCTGATGTAGTCGCCTCTGTCACCTTCCCAGATGGCTCTCATTATCCCCATTGCACAGAGGAGAGAACTAAGGTGTAGAGTTGGAGTTAAGTTACAAACCGCAGACCACATGGCTGGGAAATGACAAGAGCCAGGTCCAGCTCATGCTGATAATATAGAGATTCACCCTGAGGGTGGACAGGTGCCATCCCAGCCCAGTTCTCCCCATCTCTGCTCAGTGCCCTAGTCATGGGAATTCTTCAGGACTCAGTGTCCCTCAGTGCCCATAGCCCACCCCTCCTCCTTCTCACAGGGCTCCTCACATCATCAGCCACTGCATCCTGTTCCTCCCTTGAAGTCCCCAAGTGAGAGAGGCCACCACCTCTCTCCCCCACCGGTCTCAGGACTGTCCTATGGAGAACTCACTCGGCCCGCGGGAAAAACCAGAGCAGGCAGTTCCGCGTAGGGGCTCCAGAGAGAGGTGAACTAGGCCCCGCGGGGCGTCGCCTGCTGAGCGGGAATCCCGGCCCTAACCGCTGGCGCCCCTAGAAGGGAGGGGCGAGGGCGGAGGTGCTTCTGCGGCGGCATCTGTCCTAGGCAGGCGGGAAGCTGCTGCGTTAAATTGTAAAATCGATTTATTGACCGGCAGGTGCGAGCAGCAGTAGATAGAGAATAGCGCTGCCGGAGCGCATCTGCGGGGAGCTGGGGCATCGATCCCGCCCCGCCTCCGAAACCCGTTGTCCTGGCCCTTTCTCGCCAGCCAGTTCCCGATTGCAGGGCCAAGGTCCGCGAACCTGCGGCGCCTTAGCCGCTTGGGTAGCTCTGCTCCCCTCGCCCTTCCCCTCCCCTCCTCCCCCACCCCCCGCGCCCCTGGCTGCCCCAGTTGGCACGCGGCGGGCCGGGCTGACGCGTGGCAGCGCCCTGCGGCAGATGAGGCACGCGCCGGCCTCATTTCAATGTGAATAGATCGAATGGAACAGCCATGTGGCAGCAACAGTTTGCAAATCTCTCCGCCTTCTGTGCTGCTCCAGGGCCGCGGCTCCCTGCACGTGTCCTCTCCTCCGCGGAGCCCGCAGCGGTGGCCCTCAAGGCTTAAGCGCCCCGCCCAAACCAGGCCTGCTTCTCCGCCCCTCGCCTGCCCCACCCGGGCTGTGGCAGGGCCCCCACCGCGCTCCTACCCTGCTGCGGGAGGGCGCCGTCTCCAAATAGCAGTTTGCCCAGCGGACAGCGCTGC